CAAGATGACCTTGCTTTGCAACTACATGCAGGAGGTCAGCAAACTGGGTCACCCTCAAGCTCCAGAAGTAAAAGGAAACGTGTGTTGTCCCACTGGGAGCGGTTGCTTAGGGACTCGATTCTCATCTTTTAAAAGATAAATGACGTTTAGTGTGGGTTTGTTTTCATTATAAAAATAGCACAGAAAATAGAGATAAGCCAAGAAAAGAAAAGAAAAATCCTCCATGAGCCTGCCCACCCCTCCCAGGAGACCATTGCTAATAGTTTGGCGTGGTCCATCCTTTCCCCACGTGTCCACGTGCATGTAATTTTTTTAAAAAGATGAATTACACTATTTTGACATGTTTTTTTCTGAATACATTATAAACCCTTTCTTCACTATTAACTAGTCCTCTACAGCATCATTTCGGGGGCTGCTTGGTGTTCCAAGGTAGGGCTAAGCTGTCGCCTAACCGCTTCCCTATCGTTTCCTATTCAGAGTGTTTCCATTTTCTCCCCACTGTTCTAACAATGCTGGAATAAATGGCCATAAGGTTAAATCTTCAGGACACCCTTGATTATGTATTTCCTTAGAATAAATTCCTGCAAGGGAAACTGCTGAGTCAGGAGGTCACCAGAGCTTTTGAATCAATCAGAACAGCAGTTTGACAGGGTCATAGCCTGGGGCAGGGGCCCTGAGCCTGGGACCTCCTGTGGCTCTCTTTCTATCATGCCCATGGTTTAGGATGAGCCATTCCCTTCCTTCCCCTTCTCCGGTCCATAAAATGGAAACAGTAGGCAGAATCCGAAGGGGAAAGGGGAAAAGGTGCTTCCCTGGTTTACAACGGGTAAGTGTTTCCCAGAGGGAGGCCAGTGGTTTGCTGAGAAGCACATAGATGCCAAGCTGTGCGACAAGGACGGGAACTGGGTCGAGGTCTGGGCTCCCAGTCCAGGGCTCTAAACACATTCTGTACAAATGTGTTTCCTGCTAGCTCAGCCTGTGACATCCTGGTCCCACGGTGTGGGCAGGCCTGGACCCTTGGTGACCCACTGCCCTGGCTCCTTCATCTTCTCTCAGGTCACCCATTCACAGATATAATTATTGAGCCTTCCCTGTAGTCCTGACACTGCCTAAGTGCTTTGCAACTATTACCTAATTTGTATTCCTCCCAATAACCCTCTGAGGAAGGCAATATTGTCGCTGTTTTATGACCAAGGAAATTGAGGCTCAGAGAGAGGTGCCTCACCTCAGACCACAGAGTCGGGAATTCGAGGAGCCAGGCTCACATCCAGGCCTGTCCCACTGCAGAGCCTCATGCAGCGCCACCTCCCACCCTGGGCCCGGCAGCGTTGGCAGGTTTACCCAGCAGCAGCAGTTTTTTGCAGCGACTGCACCCCACCCAGCCCAGATTCACAATGTCCTTTGACCCTTCCAGGTGTTCCGAGTAAAGGCCATCAAGCTCGGAGAGAAACTCCTGCCGGCCTTCAACACCCCCACGGGAATCCCAAAAGGTGTCGTGAACTTCAAAAGGTAGGACTCCTTTGGTTGCATCTGCGTGGAAACTGAGGCACAGAGAGAGCGTAATACTTGCCTCTGGAATCACAGCCAGTCAGCAGCAAAGTGAAGACTGGCCCTCACCAAGGGCTCTCCTGGGCTGGTGGTTGTCACCAAACCTGGTTCTGGGGTTTAGGACACCCAAGGCCTGATCCTCAGGGGTGGGCAGGGGCAGCTGTTCCTCTGTGATTGTCCCATACACTGCCTTGACCCACAGCCCTCCAGGTGTGCCCTCCCTCTCTAGCTAGGGCCAGGGGCCAGTAAGGCACACCATACCCTCCGCCATGTGAAGGCACCCAAAGCTGCTAGGGGGTCTCAGGACCCTGGGCAGAGGGTCCCCTGGTCTGTCGACCCCCACCCTCAGGGCTGGGTCTCAGGAGCCCAGTGTCAGAACACGGGCTTCCAGGAGTGTCAAACCCACAGGGGCTCAGACCCCGAGGAGTAAAGTGTGTGACTGGCTGAGTTCACATAAGCTAGTAACTGACCATTTCAAGACATGAACCCAGGAATTCCAACTCCATTTTTAATCATAATATTTATTGGAATTTACCCTCTGTAAAAATAATAAATTCTCTTTGCAGAACATGTGGATTATACCAAAAATGTTGGATAAGACTAAAAAATAACATGTGGTCCCACTAATGAAAGAATCCACTCACTGGTAGTGTTTCTTTCTCCTGGCTCTGTCTTAAAACATTTATTTTTATTGGCCACTTTCATTATTTCCCCTCTGATCTGTTGCTTAATTCAGTATGTGAACTAAAATCTCCCTGGGTAGTCGCTAAGTCACAGAGCCAGAGTGACACAGCCAGAGAAGGGTGGAGCCAGGGCTGCAGCTCTGTCCTGCTCACCTGTTCCCTCAATACCTCAGGGCATTCACTTGTCCCCTCAACACTTCCCTCTCATGGGATAGGAGTGTATTTATATCCACCCATTTTCCATATGTAGCAACTGAGACCCAGAGGGGGGAAAGGACAGGGTCAAAGTCAAGAAAACTAATGGCCCAGCCAGCTTTAATATACATTGGGGTGCATATATCTTGCTTCTGGACATCCCAGATGTGCCCCCTGTCTTGCTTTCTCTCACTCTGTCCCTTCACTGGATTGCCCATCTCTCACAGCTTCCCTGACCATCAAAACCCAGCTCAGAGGACACCTTTGTCATTAGGCCAAAAGTGTCTTTGCCTGTCCTGGCCTCCAGGCACTTTATCTCCTTTCTCATGGCCCTTGTCACACGCATCTTCATGTTCCCCCACTGGCCTGGGAGCTTCTCAAGGTCAGGATCCACGCCCAATTCTTGTTCCTTTGACAAATATTCCTGCTAGACAGTGTGTTTGGGATAAAAGATTAACAATAACACTGTTTCATTTATTGAGTAGTCGCCATGTGCCTAGCATGGTGCTAAGAGTTTCTGTACATTGCCTCACCAAACTTCCTACTCACAGCAATCCTTTGAGGGTAGGCATTTATATTATCCCATTGTTAAAACGGAGTCTCAGAGAGATGAAGTAACTTGCCCAAGGTCTCCTAGCTAATAGGTAATAGGGCTAAGATTTAAACTCATTTTGTTATGATCGATTGGAAAGCTCTGTTCTTACAGCCTGCCCGGCTGGCCCTCAGATGGGAACCCTGCTGCCCCTGAGCTGCGCGGAGTGGACCCCTGGGAAACCTTGTAGAAGACACCCGGAGAGCTCTCTGGGGCCATCCTTGAACCTCCAGGCCCTCCTATAACCCCAGGCCTGGGAGGAAGGCTGTAACGTTTCCATCGCGCCAGATGTCCCCTGTCTGCCTCCTAAAGTGATTTCTTATCTCAGGGCTCTCAGCCCAACAGGAGCTTCAGCCAGCTGTCTGGGAGGGAAGGAGGACACTGGGGTGGGGGGTGGGGGGGCTTGGGCCCTGGTGAGAGTGCCCGGCTCCCTCTCTGTCCTGGGGAGGCCCCGCCCTCACGTCAGCCTGAATTGCTTCAGCATCCCCTCTTGGGCCTCACAGAGAAGAGAGGACTTGGCATCTCCACCTACTGTCTTCTGTGGTCAGAAGGCTTTCTCGGGGTGTGACCTCACTGAAATCTCTGAGGGCCAGGGTTGACTCCTCAGAACTGGACACTTGGATCTCTGCTCAGATTCCTTTTCCACAAACCTAAAGAAACAGGACCAGCTGACATGGAGTTGAGACAAGCACAGCTCCCTCCTGGGTCCAGCTTCTGGAGCCTCGCTGCCTGGCGTCTGGGACAGGGTGCCAGCTCAGGCATCCCTCCTCCTGTGTGCGAGTTCTGCGGGCTGTACAAACCACAGCCCTAGCTGTCTGGTTAAGAGGCCCTCAGAGCCCGGACCCGGTCCGCATAGGTCCTGCCGTTCCTGATTAAGAAAGCGCATTTATGTGGGGGCTGTGTGCATGCTGCCGGCGCTGTGCACACGTGTAGGCATGTGCTGCTTTCCTGGCAACACCCCCTTCCATTTTCTGGGTAGGAGTCTGTCGCTAAAGGCGCCTCCCTGTTCCCCAGGGAGAATGTCAGGGATGAGTGCAGCCCGAGTGGCACTGACTCTGCTCTTTGGAGGGTGCTCTGGGGAAGCTGGGCCACACACGGCTGCCCCTGTTCTGGGCAGGGCTGGCTGTGGGCCCCAACAGGAGGGGAAACTAGGCTCTGGCCCGAAATTGCTGGTCACAGGGACCCTGAGGGAGGTGGTCCCCGAGTGAGCTTGACTGCTCCTCCTACCTGATGGGGGGGTGTGTCTTTGCAGCCTGGCCTGGGAGGCAGAGGCAGGGGCAGCCATGACCGGTGACCTCCAGGGACCTGGGCTCTCTGGGAAAGTGGCCGTGGCCACTCCAAGGACCCCTGCAGCTGACTCACTCGCTCTTACACACACATTACTCTCTACTGCCACCCACCCAAAACGTGATACATAAGCTCGCCTTTGTGTCACACACTCACATCCATACATATGTGCGCACACTCACAAATATGCATTTTCAAATGCACACACACTGATGTACACATCTTAGTAATCGCCTCCATTTATTGAGTTTTCACTGTGTGTCAGGCACAATGTGAGCCCATGACATGGATTCTCTTTTTTCAATTTCACAACAACCACATGGATCCCATTTTATCAGTGAAAAAACTGAGGCTCAGAAAGGTAAGGTGTCTTAATCAAGGTCACACAGCAGCAAAGTGAACTTAGAACCAGAATCCAGGTCTGGCTCCAAAGTTAATCACTGCACCATACATAGGAGTGCGCACACACACACATAGAAACTTCTGCCAGGCTGGGGAGGGGCACTGTGGAGCGGCCCCTCCCGCCGAGGGGAGAGAGCACAGGTTACAGGCCCACTTGCAGGCTTCAAAGCCTGGGAGGGGAGTGGAGGGCAGAGCTCCCATTAGCTCACTGCCTCACAGGGCTGACCAGAGGCCCTTCCAGTCTCCCGATGCTGCCCAGAGAAGAAGCATTTGGGATTTAGATTCAACTCTACCAGCTCTATCACTTACTGTGTGGCCTTGAGGAAAGCGTCTTCCCCTCTCTGAGCCTGTGTATCTTCACCTATGAAATAAGGAATGGTATCTACCCTCCAAAGTTGGATGTGAAGTTAAAATAAGATACCACAGCTGCCTGGCACATATCAGGAACTTAATAACTCTAACAAACAGCACATAATTTATATGTGCATAATTACATAATGATAAAATGACAGTAATTACATGCATAATTTATACCTCACACCGACTCTCTGAGGTGTGGGTACCGTCATTTAATGGATGAGGAAACTGGGATCTAGAGAAATGAACCGACCTGCCTGAGGTCACGTGGGGAGCCAGCATTTTGAAGGCAGGCAGGAGGGGGGAAGGCGCTGCCCGCCGCCCGCCTCTGCCCTGGCTGGCAAGGCCTGTCTGCCAGGGCGGCTCCCCTACAGAAAGCCCACTTGGGAGGGTGAGTTTTGGAGGGAGGAGGAGAGGAAAGGCTTTTGTGGGGAGAAACTAGAACAAAAGATGTCTGGAAAGCTGATGGCTTTCTTTTTACTTTGAATTTCTATGCAAGGGCAGGAAGCATCAATTATTCAGAAAACCCTCTGCCCATTGAGATCACAAGCTGGAGAGAGAAGTCTCGCTGGGAAAGACGGACAGAGTGGAGACAGCTTCCCCTTTCCTCCGGGTGGATGTAGGGCCATCTGGGTGGGAGACCCCCTTAGAGAAGTGCCCTGCACACCTCAGTTTGAATCCCATCTCCACCACCTACCAAAGTGACCTTTGACAGCTCTCTTCCCTCTCTGAGCCTCAGTTTCCTCTGCATATTGGAATTAATGATGCTTTACCTTGTGGGCTTTAAATGAAATAATGCAAGCAGCTTGCCCCAGTGCCTGCCATCTGTAGCAGCTCAATAAATGGAAGCTGTTTTATTTATTACCCAGGAGCCAAGTGTCCCCTCTCTATGGAATCCATCCCTCCTCCACCTGCCCCTTCCCCCCAAGTCAGGAAAATACCCAAGGAAGTGGAGACAGGAAGAAAGGACCTGTTCTCCTCTATGTTTACTGAGGTCACCTGCCCCAAAAGATCCCAAAATGCAAGTCCTCTGACTGTTTCTGGAAGCTGGGAGACGTGAGTTTCCCAACTTTCCCGGAAACTGCATCCAGGCTAGAGAATGGACTTTAGAAATGAGAAGGGCAGCCTTGGGAGCCCCAGCCCCACCCCAGGAAAATCAGTGCCCCTCAGGTGACAAACTGTGACCTCCCAAACCCACGCCTGCCTTCTTAGGTCCTGTCTCTGAGTGGCAGAGGGACAGACAGGAGCTATTCCTAGGGAGCCAGAGCTATCACAGCAAGGAAGCAAAAGGGCTCTCCCCCAGCCCTACCCTATACTAACTGCACCTCGGAGCCCCTGCAAATGAGGAGCTCACTCCACCCTGCTCTGACCCCACCCCATCCTCCACAATCTCTTGCAGAGGGAGGTTGACCCCTTCCCCCCTAGTTGTTCTAAATGTCTCATAGAAAAGATCATCATGATGCATATGAGGAAACTGAGGCACAGGGAGAGGAAGCAGCTTGCCCAAGGCCACCCCCATTCTGCACCTTCCTCTTCTCTCTAAATCCCCACAAAAGTCCTAGGATGGAGACTGGGAGGTATTATTCTTGCCTACTTTGTCCAGTACAGAAACTGAAGTACACCAGGAGGAATGGTTTGCCCGAGGCCTCTCAGCTAACACACTTGAACCTGTGCCTCCAGGCTGCAAACCCTAGGGAAATGTTAAGTGAAAGCACCTGGAAGGGCAGTGTCCTTGCTTATTAATGTGTAATAAAAGTATGGTGGTTAGGTGGTTAGGACATCAGCCCAGCGTTGGGTCCCAGCTGCTCCACTTGATGTGTGATCTTGGGCAGGTGATGTTACTGTGCTGTACCCTGTTTTCCTCATCTGTAAAAGGAGCAGATGGGAGGATTGCCTGAGGCCCTGCCTCTGCACTCTCCCTCCTTGGAAGCACCCAGTATGTGAAGAGTCATTTGACAGCCTTGTCCGGTGAGGTGGCAGGGTGTTAGTAATACCTCATGTACTTTATCTAAGGTGTTCTTGAGAATACATGGTTCACCAGTGAAGAAATCTTTGCTTCAAGAGCCCCTGCTTCTTTTATTTCTAACCTCGGCTTCCCCGGGGTCTGACAGCTCCAGGTGTGTAGTTATATCAGAGCTGCCTCCCTATCAGGTGTGGGTTCCATGAAACTCGAAGAGGTGGCCCTTGTGTGTCCTTGGGCAGCGTTGGCAGGGAAGGGAAAGGAGAAGGGCCAGGCGGGGTCCCTGCTTTTCATCAGCCCCTGTTCAGACCCTCCCTCCACATGCAGAGCCATTGACTGTGAACCACCGGGTTGCCTTCAGCCACAGGATGGAAATGGAGTGTCTCTGGGGTCTTTATGGTCCTGACAGCATTGTCGTTATCACCTGTAAATTTAGCAAAGCACCTATGCCGTGTCTTGGCCACCAAGACAGTGCTGCTGCTGTCCTTCTCAAGCCTGCAAGTCGTACAGGGACAAAGAAGAGTGCAAGTCAGACAGGCCTGGGTTTAAATAACCTTCAGCAAGTCACTTTGAAACTGGACACAATGGATCCAAGGCCTCCTGTCACTACTTGAGCCAAATTAAGCAGACACAGGGTTGAATCATATATGAGCGTTTATTCCAATAATGCTGGCAGTATGGGGAGAGCAGCTGGTCATCCTGGAAATTCTGCTCGGACCCCCTCGCCAGCTGGCTGGTTATGTACCAGCGAGGGGGGAAGATAGCTACCTGCAGCTGCGAGCTACAAGCGTAACAGGGAAAGGGGAGGGGAGGGCTGCAGTCGGGCCTTCAGGAGCTCAAAGTCCGATAACCAGGTGGCTAATCTATGATGTTACAAACAGCTCAGCCTGGTTCTTGGGACCAAAGAATGGTCAGCGTTCCTGAGGCAAACTCCCGGAGGGGGTCAGGGTCGGGGCACAGCAACCAAATCAAAGTGTGTTCTGTCCTTGGTCTGTTCTCAAAATGTATTTCTTTTTAGCCCTGGCAGGTTTTGCTCAGTGGTTAGAGCATCGGCCTGCAGACTGAAGGATCCTGGGTTCAATTCTGGCCAAGGGCACGTACGTCAGTTGCAGGCTCATCCCCAGCCCCCTGTTGGTGCACATACAGGAGGCAACCAATCGATGTGTCTCTGTCACATCGCTGTTTCTCTCTCCCTTCTACTCTCTCTGAAAAGCAATGGAAAAAAAATATCCTCAGGTGAAGATTAAAACAAACAAAAGTATATTTCTCTTTACAGCCCTGTTTTTCTTCTTGCAACACATCCTCCAGTTTCCCAGGGCCTGTAAGAAAACCTCTTATCTATAGTTAGTAAGGTGAATAATTATTAAACAACTGGGGCTCTGTTCTTATTCTGTGCCCTTCTCCACTATCGACTTCATCTCAACCTCAGTGTTCTTATTAGCAAAATGGGTCAATTACTAGTACAGATCCCCAGGGAGGATTAACTGAGGTTACGTTGCGAAAGGTCCTAGGACAGTGCTGGCACAGGGTAGGTGCTCCCCCGCTAAGCAGTCACCTTACCCTCAATAAAGGAGCCAGCTGGGGGCAGGAGTGATGGTGGCTGCTTCTGTCTTTTCAGTGGCTCCAACAGGAGCTGGGGCTGGACCATGGCCGGGAGTAGCAGCATCCTGGCGGAGTTTGGATCCCTGCACTTGGAGTTCTTACACCTCACTGAGCTCTCTGGCAACCAGGTCTTCGCTGAAAAGGCAAGTCTTCTCCCTGCTCCCTCCCCAGACAGCCCCATGGAGAGCAGAATGATGGGCCACAGGAAAGTGGCTCCCAGATCAGCGGGAGGGTGCGTGGGGAACCCAGAGCCCCACTAACAGTTACTTGGGAAAGACCTGATTGAACCCAATCCCAGGTGGCAGGGAAGGCGAGTGCAGGGGAGTGGTCGGGATCCTAGGGAGGGCAAGGAAGAGACAAAGCTGCCTGGGGAAAGTTGTCAGCTGCACATGTCAGCTCGTGGTGACCATGCATAACGTGAGTCTACAGAAAGCGCAGCAGCTGAAATCTAGGCATCAACTTACACTGGCAGAAACGGGCCACCCGATGCAGAAGCCCCCTTTCCAGAGACATTTAACTTTTTCATGTGAGATCTGCCTGACCTTTCCTTCCAGATGCCCGTCTAGCTCATGCTGTCCACAGGCTGGCAAAGCGATTTCACTCTACAGCAGAGGCACGTGTCTGTTCCTTTTCACTGTTACCAGGCTGGCTAAGGCCATGGGGATGCTGAGAGAGAGCATCCAGGCTGCCGTCCATTCCGACAGCCGCCTGTCCCTCTGTGAGGCCCTCCAGAGGAGCAGTTTCTCAGTGCCTCAGCCTTGTCAGTCCCACTGTCTGGAAGTGTCTCCATGGGTCTAACCCTAAACCCAAAGAAGGGAAGTGTACTCACACCACCCTCAGATGACACTTAGGCTTCATTAGCAGTTGTCTCTCCCTGAGTCCTGCCCAAGGAGATGAAGCCCTGCCCTCCAAGAAGGACCCTTTGAAGGGCCCCACTCCCAAAGCCTTTCCCCCTAATGGTCAGCTCTTAGAACGCCAAGGGGCTAGGAGCTCCTAGATCTACTCTTCACCCAGTGGCTCCCAGTCTCTGTCCACCAACCAGCCTCAGAGCATCCCCTGGCATGCCTGTGAGGAAACAGATCTCTGGGCTTTGCCCCAGGCCCAGGAATCTGCATTTTTAATAAAAGCACTTGTGTACTTTTTGTTTTGTTTTGTTAAATATATCTTTATTGATTTCAGAAAGAGGGAGAGAAAGATAGAAACATCAATGATGAGAGAGAGTCATTGATCGGCTGCCTCCTGCATGCCCCCAACTGGGGATCAAGCCCGCAACCCGGGCAGTGCCCTGACCAGGAATCGAACTGCAATCTCCCGGATCCTAGGTCGATGTTCAACCGCTGAGCCACGCCTGGCTGGGCTCGTGCATGTTTTGACTCCAGCTTTAGGACCACTGCTTATTCAGTGTGGGAATCCAGCCACGTGTTCTCGAGAAAACACTCAAGAACATTTCAGCTCCTTGATCATTTCCTCTGCCTTGGGGCTCACTACCACCCTTAAAGAGCCCATCACGTCATCAGACCTTGTATGGAAAGGACTCTGCCTCCCTGTGACACTCCACCTCAAAAGTTCATGCAATAAGTTTAATCCTTCTTCCCAATTAATTTTATTTGCCGATCATTCTTCCCAGCTCCACATCATCTTCATTTTACAGAAGAGGAAACTAAGACTCAGAGGTTAAGTCACTTGTCCTGGATCATCCATCTGGAAAGTGATAGCACCAGGGTTCAAATCCAGGACTTCTTGTCTCTGAGGCCCACGCTCTTTCAAGAGCAGATCAGTACAGCAGGCTTTAGGCTTTTTCTCCAGAGTCCACCGCCTCTCTGCTTCTCTCTCTCTCTCCATTTACATTCTCCAGCTATTTCCATCCCCCAGTCATGCCTCCCACAGAGGTGATTATTGGCAGTCAACAAATTGGCCCAAATTCTAGAAGCGCCCGCACCCTCTGGGGGAGCTCATTTAGCCTGCCTCACTGCTTACCACCAGGACAGTCGAGAATAAGTCAGGTACAAGCACAGCCCTGTCCCCATAATGGACTGCATTAACATAAGTGGATATGAAATCCGATGTGGCAAAGCAAATGCCATCCCCTGTAAGGAAAGGCCTGACAGCTAAAAGGCTGCTTCCCTTGCTCCTTGCCTTGTAGATAAATCTATGAGCATGATACAGTAAAGCCCCAGAGGGCCTTTCTCTCCCGGCAGGTGCCGTCCTGGGAGGATTTCATGGATTGCCAGAGTAAAGACCCTGAGGGATAAAGCCTTCCCACTTTTATAGCCCAAAGCCCCCTTGTGCTTGGTATCCCCAAAGGTTGCAAATCTAGCTTCCTTTTGCTCAGGTGGGGCAGCCTCTGCTACACGTTCCTGCATTGTCCCCACCCCAGTCCGTGCTGGACCCAGGAGCTGGTCCGTGTGGTCAGACAAACCTGACTCATGTTCTGGCCCTGCCACTTACGTACTGGGTAACTATGGGCCAGTCACTGAACCTCTCTAAGATTCAGGTGTCTTATCTGTTACACTGAGATAATAATACCACATAGGTTGTCCTAATTTTTGGAGATAATGTATATAACAGGTCTGGCTCAGAGGAACTGAGAAATGTTAACAGCTGCTGTTTTTTTTAAGATCCTGAGGTGCCTATGAGGGCCCAGGGGTACTGAGGAGCCCAGACCTCTCCTCTGGAATGGTTCCTACGGTGTCAGAAAAAAATAATGTGTTACCAGGTTGAACCATATGAAATTTCCAATATTTGACCATTTCTGACCTATTAAAAAGGCAGTTTTACCTAGTCTACAAAACAGCTACTATCCCTTATATGAATCTCCCCTCCTAAAAAGACCCACCTCCAAAAAAGCAACATGCAGTGAGGAAGGGGTGAGGTGAGAGTGGGGGTAAGGGGCCTGGCAGAGTGGTCAGTGCAAAGATAGTGGGTCAGGCCCCAATGCCCGCACATGGGCACAGTGCAGGTCAAGGCCGTCCCACCAGCTCTGGGTCGGAGCCTGCTGTCGGTCACGCAGCTCTCCCTTTCCGCCTCCTTGGAATTGTTTCCTCTGGATCTGAACCAGCTGCCCCGGTCCTCAGCGGGCTGGGAGTGGGCTGGCTTCGGCTAAAAAGTGAAGGCGCACCTGGTGTCCATCTCTTGGCAGGTCAGGCACATCCGGAAGGTCCTCAGGAATATCAGTAAGCCCTTCGGCCTCTACCCCAACTTCATCAGTCCAGTGAGTGGGAACTGGATGCAACGTGAGTACAGAGACACCCCGCCCCTCCTGCAGCTGGTTCCCACCCAACTTTCCATGGGGCCCCTGGCAGGGCTCAGACCAGTGAGTCACTCACTCAGTGCTCCTGGATCCCAGAGCCCCCCCAGGTAGCTTGGGGAGTTTTCACTATAGTTGTCATTGCTGTGGTGACAGACATGATGGTCCAGTAAGGCCCTGCCCTGTGTGTCCCCCTTGCACTCGCTGTCTCCAGCCTCCATCAGGGCTAAAGCTTCCATCTCTGGTGCCCACTGAAGGCTCCTCATCCCCCACCCTTTCAGGAATGTTCCTGTCCTAGCCCCTTCCATGTGGTTTCCCACCTCCAACTTTAGATTTAAAAAATAACTTAAGCAGAACCTAACTAATACAGCAGTATAAGTTCACTGCTGTATCTTATACCTGCCAGAATCGGTCCCAGAACTTCCTGCTGTTCTCTGTTCAGAGGCTTGTTTCTCAAGTAGACGGTTGTTGGTCACCTGGTCACCTATGGAGCCTCACTCACAGCCCCCAGCTTCACCCACTGAAACAGAATGGGTCCTGGGGGAATGCTCAGGTGGGAGAGTGTTGAGAATCTCCCAGACCCCTGGCATTGCACCCCTGCTGAGAAGCACTGCTCCACCCTGCCCTCCTGACCAAGGCCCTGGTCCTGTGGTCATAGCACAGATTGGTGGCAGCAGGTTCCATGGCCCTGCTCTCGGGGCTTCCCAGAGCCCCGCCTCACTGCCTCTGCCCAAACAAGGACCCCTCTCCTTCCCTCACCCCCTCTAGCCCCAGCTGTTAAATGGCATCAGCAAGGGCTT